TTCCTTCGTTCCTTCCATTCCTTCCTTCTTTCCTTCCTTTCATCTTTCTTTCTTTCCTCCTTCCCTTTTTTTCCTTCTTTTCTTTCTTTCCTTCCTTCCATTCCTCCCTTCTCTTTCTTTCCTTCCTTCCCTTTCTTTCCTTCGTTCCTTCCTTTCCTTTCCTTCTTTCCTTCCTTTCATCTTTCTTTCTTTCCTCCTTCCCTTTTTTTCCTTTTCTTTCTTTCCTTCCTTCTCTTTCCTTGCTTCCTTCCTTCCTTTCCTTTCCTTCTTTCCTTCCTTTCATCTTTCTTTCTTTCCTCCTTCCCTTTTTTTCCTTCTTTTCTTTCTTTCCTTCCTTCCATTCCTCCCTTCTCTTTCTTTCCTTCCTTCCTTTCTTCCTTTCCTTCCTTCTTTTTTCTTTCCTGCCTCTCTTTTCTTTCCTTTTCTTTCTTTCCTTCCTTCTCTTTCTTTCTTTCCTTCCTTCCTTCCTTTCCATACATAATGACACCTTGTTCACGGGGAAATAGCGCAGCATAAATAGCAATACCGGCAACCGACAGCTAATTTTGCCATAAGAAATACCAGGAACATCTTATTCGTAATATCCCTCTGAAACAAGAGGGATGAAAAGAATGGGCCAACTATTAGGCACAGTAATGATGAAGATTAAAAAAGTTAAGCATTATATTCTTCCAAACCCTTCTTAAGAACTCTCTGTTATTCGGGACACCCACACTGGAAAGCTAACTGAGCAAGATGTCCCAGTTCATTATGAAAATGTTTTGAGTAGGTCTAGATTTCCCGAGCAAACACAGCCCAGTGCGTCAAGGGAGGCCTGTTATTTAAGTGTCATTTCTGGATGGAAACAGAGATTTCAAAAGCTCTTATTTCCGGTTTCCACTTAGCTATACTCTCAGCACCGGAAATGCCTTTCTGTTAAAAATAACAGAACCCCATTTACCTTGATCAGAAAGGCAGATTTGGATGCACATTCTTTAATCCCAGAACTTTGGTGAAAACACACCCTCTCTGTGTATTTTTATTTTTATTTTTTTAATCTGAAGGGATGGCGTCTGAAAACGAGGCAGGATTGCACACAAATTAAAGAGAACGGAGAGATTAGAACCTCCAGTCACAACCATAATTTGTTCCATAACTTTGGTGGTAACACAATTTGGTTGTGACCCGAACCTAATTTTGGAAATTTGGCGCTGACCAAAAAAAAAGTGGGGGGGGGCACAGAAGGGGAAATCGGCCACGGGGGAAATAAATTGTGATTTTTTTTTTTTGTTGGAACCCGATTTGGTCGTGGCCAGAAGCGTTCGTGACCAGAGATTCTACTGCATCTGAATTCTACCTTAGGCTTCCTTTCGCCCTGCTTAAAATTTTAGGAATTCAGTAACTTTGGACATTCTTTCATTCAGCTAGAAGCTGTGGGCAATCAGAGAGATTTAACAGACTTTAACAGATTTAACAGAGTTGGAAGGGACCTTGTAGGTCATCTAGTCCAACCCCGTGCCCAAGCAGGAGACCTTACTACACCATTTCTGACAAATGGCAGTCCAATCTCTTCTTGAAAATCTCCAGTGATGAAGCTCCCACAACTTTTTAACAGATAAACTGAGTTGGAAGGGACCTTATAGGTCATCTAAACCAGGTTGGCGACCTGTCTCCAGAGCCAACTTTTTACAAGAAAACTTTTCTGAGATTAGGTAATTCCTGAATTTAGGTTCTGGCTGACCTTAAAAGTTAAAATGTCAACTACCCAGGTCAACAACCTAACAGGTAGGAAAGCTCAAATACTAATAGCACCAAATTCAACATCAGGATTTGAACCCTGCCCTTTATTTTTTTAAAAGGTCTGCATGAATGCCCATTTTAAACAACTCTGGATGACTCAGGTTGATCTTCCCATTTCTAATTTACTACACCACACCAGCCTTCACGTCCCAGTTTTTCATATTCTGGGAGGTTTTAAAGAGAGTTTTGTTTTTATTCTACATTCTTTGTTTTGTTCTTATCCCTGCAAAAAGAATCAGACATCGCAACAAAATGTGCCCTAAACACAAACCCACTGCCTCGCAAGCAACTTTTAGAGACATTCCTGATTTAATATAGTGACTTATATAGGTAAAGGTAAAGATTCCCTTTGCACATATGTGCTAGTCGTTCCTGACTCTAGGGGGCGTTGCTCATCTCCGTTTCAAAGTCGAAGAGCCAGCGCTGTCCAAAGATGTCTCTGTGGTCATGCGGCCGGCATGACTCAACGCCGAAGGCGCACAGAACGCTATTTCCTTCCCACCAAAGGTGGTCCCTATTTTTTCCACTTGCATTTTTTTACATGCTTTCGAACTGCTAGGTTGGCAGAAGCTGGGACAAGTAACGGGAGCTCACTCATTACACAACACTAGGNATTACTGAAATAAATGAACTTTTGCACGATATTCTGATTTTTCGAGTTTCACCTGTATTTAATTAAATTTACGTGGTGTTAGGTGCCACCTCCATATCACTTTATATCCATTTTCCTTAACTCTTAACTGACATATTCTTATATAATCATCTATTCCAGATATTTTTTCAATCAGTATCATTTATTTCTCTTAAATCTGATTCCCAAATTAATTTTAAACCTTTTGCCTGCTCAAAGGTGTTTTTTCAAGAGGCAACTTTTTCAGTTTCTTGGATGAGAAGTGAAACTTCTTCAAAGAAAAACCAGAAAGTTCAGTTGCCTCTTGAAAAATCACCTTTCGGACAACCATGTCCTGGATGACTGAGAATCTCCATAGAGATTTAACAAACACATGCATGCTTGAATTTTCCAATTTCAAAGCACTGACTTTTTATTTTTCTATACAATTCCATCCCATAATTGGAGACAAAAACTGAACTTTCAATCTACAAAAAAGTTGTACTGTGGTGGGAAAACCCACTTCCGAAAGACAGGAGACAAGACCACGTGTGGAGAAACAGGCTTATTGCTAGCAACGGTTGAGAGCAATAGCTTGGCAAATTCTGAACCTTGGGCAACGCCCAAGGACTATCTTTTACAGGTTTCACAATTACATCTTCCTTATGGCATACATTTCCTTGACACGTATCAGATACAGCACATCAAAACAGGATACAGAAAGAAGTTATGGTAAACCTTGCATTCCACATATGGTTAAGGCTGGCACATCTTACACCATCTGTTACTTTCAGGAGCTTCTTCCGTGTCCTACCCTTGCGTTACAGAAATATCATGGTACATAGGTCAGTAAGCGTACAAGTACATTTGGAAAGATTTTTAATACTTTCCTAATATTACAACATGGATAGAAGCAAATAAAGGCCAATCTACTGAAGATCTGATATTAAATTACGACCCTTGGGCCCACCTGTCACATTCCCCCCTTTGGAACTCCACCAAAATTTCCTAATTACTGTGCTGTTTCATATAATGGCTGAGATTCCTCCAAGGCCTTAAGCTTCTCATATTCCCACCATGCCATGGCCTTATCAGCTGCCCTTTTATCTGCTAGTAAAGAAAGAGAATTAGAGATGGTACGGACAAAGATGGGGAGAATGCACGGTAGAATAACACACCCAGCAGCAATCAGGCCGATGAGGGCCACAATTGCTTGCAACTCTGGGAGTGTAGGGAACCATCCTGAAAATGCTTCTGTCAAATCTAGACCTCTCCATGTTTGAACTGGGACATGAGCTATTTTAACCATTTTATCAGTTATTTCTTTAATGACCTTGCCACTATCATCTATTTCAATACAGCAACTAGACAAGTTAAATTTACCACACACGCCTCCCTCTTTAGCTAAAAGATAATCTAAAGCTAAGCGATTTTGCATAATATAGGTGCGAGATTTTACACTCTCTGCAGCTAGCTTGGTTAAGCCTTTAACTGTCTCATTAGTAATGATCTCAACAACAGCTTGTAATCGAATGAGTCTATTCAGCATATATATGGGGGTGCGATAACCATATATACCATCCTCAGCCCAGGTTGCAGGTCCATAAACTTGGATAATTCTCTCCGGGGGCCATTCATCATCCTTCCAGTGACCTATTTGTACCTTTTCGATCAAGGAAGTATCCACGTGCCTCTGGTCCCTAATGTTCCCAATCTCGTCATACACAGGTACTCCCAGTACCTGCCTCTGATGGAGTGGAAACAAGAAGAATCTGGGACGAATAATTCCCAAGACACATTAACGACACCAACCGGCTGGGAGCTGACTATATGCAAACTTTCCACAAATCCAATACATACCATCGGGGGCTAACCATTGCAGAGAAGTTTTATAAGGTTGTTTGATATAAGACTTAAGGAGGGTGACTGATTCCAAAGCCATTTCCCCCCCAAATTAGTCCCACCACACACAAAACAATTAGATACATTCAGGGTAGTGGCTATATCTTCAGCTAAGCGAACAAAGGTATTAATAGCTGTAGCAGGTAAATCAAAAATATTGAACTTATTGGAGAACTTCCGGTAGCACCGTAAGGCTCTGACAACGTCCCTCTGGGACGCTCCAGCCCCGAGATCGCGTTACACTGCTAGGACAGCGTAAATCAGTTGTCTGGCAGTTTGAAAACTCTTTCCTCGGGAGAAGAGGAAGAGGAGAGCTGCCGAGTGAGGGTAGAGCTCCCTTAAACCCCCAGGAGTAATTTCTGGGGCTTGGAAGGTGTGAGCCCCCCCTGTAGCTCAATACACTCCGCTCTCGGGACGCGTCTGCTATTGCAGATCAAAGAGCCACAACCATCCCTGCAATCAATGTTTTTTTTTTTTTAATTAAATGTTTTTTAGTTTTAGTTTAAAACTGGTACAACATCTTTCTTAATATATCAATCAATTACAGATAATACAGAAAA